GACCGCATGGCAGGGTCTTTTATTTTGAATTTCTTCCAACTGTCCCTTTTTGTGTTTTCTTCTGTAGAGGACACTCCAGTTTTATCTGCAAAGACTCCTCTTGGAAAGGAATGCCCACTTGCATTTTGCGTTAAGAAATTGGTCCAGGTCAGCATCGCTCAGTGGTTGACCATTGACCTATGAACCTGGATATCACTGTTCAATTCCTGGTCAGGGCACATGCTGGGGTTGGGGGATTGATCCCCGGTGAGGGGGCATGCAGGGGACGGCCAATCGGTGATTCTCTCATCATTGATGTTCCTGTCTCTCCCTTCCTCTCTGAAATCAATAGATATATATTAAAGAAAAAAAGAAATCGGAAAACCTTCCCATTAGTCCTGGTGCACGCAGTACCTCCTGTGTAGCTTCACCATCATGGCTGCGGCTGCCAGCGAGGAGGAAAGATGGTGAAGAGAACCAGCATGACCTCCCCTTAACTAATGCTACCTGCAAATGCTGTTCCTAAGTAAGGTTACATGCATAGGCACCAGGGTTTAGAACTTGAACATGTCTTTTTGGGGGACACAAGTCTACCTTCTACAATGTGCAACCCTATTACGATGAATATGACACTCCTGTAGTCGTTAGGCACCTGCCTTCCTATGGGCTCTGGGAGTGAGGTGGAAGTGGCATACAGGGAATCAGCACTTACACAAACCATTTTTAAAAAAATACATATTTTATTGATTTTTTACAGGGAGGAAGGGAGGATAGAGAGTTAGAAACATCGATGAGAAACACCGATCAGCTGCTTCCTGCACATCCCTCACTGAGGATGTGCCCGCAACCAAGGTACATGTCCTTGACCGGAATGGAACCTGGGAACCTTGAGTCCGCAGGCTGACGCTCTAGCCACTGAGCCAAACCGGTTAGGGCCACAAACCATTCTTTTTAAAAAAATACATTTTTATTGATTTCAGAGAGGAAGGGAGAGGGGGAGAGAGAGAAACATCAGTGATGAGAGAATCATTGGTCAACTGCCTCCTGCACACCCCCTAATGGGGAGCCCACAACCCAGGCATGTGCCCTTGACCAGAATGGAAACCGGGACCCTTCAGTCCACAGGTTGACACTCCATTCACAGAGCCTAACCAGCCAGGGCCACAAACCATTCTTGTCCTTGCAAAGCTTATCGTCTCATGGAAAAACATAAGTCAACCAATAGGTGTTCGTTAGGAAAAATGAATATGTGTAGGACATGGTTTATGTAGTGTGGTTAGAGGAGGCCTCGGAGGATATGACATTTAATCTGGGTCTTATAGGATGACAATGAGCCAGATATGGGACAGATAAGGAGAAGACTCTTCCAGGTGGAGGCCACAGCAGAAGCAAAGCCTCCGAGGTGGGGAAGAGCTCAACACTTTCTTGGGACTGAAGGAACAAAGAGGGGAGACAGTAGAAGATGGGAACAAAGATGGAGGCAGGAGCCATACCTGATGGGCAGTGAGCGGCTGCCCAACATTTTTACAGCAACCCTGCAGCTAAGAAACAGGTACATATGTGCACAGATATGCAACTGGATGGTAAAGAGTAGATAGAAGCAGTTAGATTTTCAGTCTTATTTTGGAGGGAGCACCGCCAGTGTGTGGGAGGGTGAAAGAATTCAGGATGATGCTCAGCATTTTGAACAGTTGGGTCAAGGGCAGTGAAATGGTGAAGCCTGGGGGAAGAAAGATTTTGTTGGAAGCGGGGATGGCTGTAAACAGTTCAGTGTTTGACATGTTCCATTTTAGACAAGTGGATATACCACCTAGTGAATATGTTTCTGAAGCTCAGAGACAAGGTCTGTCTGATGATATAAATTTAGGCATTGGTGACTATATAAATATAGGGTGTCCCCCAAAATGTGTACGCCCACTTTGAATAATTATAAAAGCAGCGTTTATTATAATTTCATTTTTAAAAATATTTGTATTTCAGAGAGGAAGGGAGGAGGGGGAGAGGGATAGAAACATCAATGATGAGAGAGAATCATTGGTCAGCAGCCCCCCACTGGGTATTGAGACTGCAACCTGGGCATGTCCCCTGACCGAGAATTGAACTGTGATCTCCTGGTTCATAGGTCGACACTCAGCCACTGAGCCATGCCGGCTGGGCAAAATACATTTTATTTTCAAAATTGAGCTCTCAGCTGTTAAAGTGTGAACATATCTTTTTGGGGACAGCCTGTAGATAGATTTAAAGCCATGGAAACGGGTGAGGTTTGAAGAAAGGGAGTAGAGGGAAGAAAAGGGGGTAAGCCTCAAGAAACTGAAAACAAACCCCCAAGCACATTAGTTACCATTATTGTGTGCATAGCATAGTGCAGAGCAAGGTGTGGTTAGTGAAGACTTGGAATCCCAGAGCCCAGGGTGTGAATTCTAGCCCTGATGTGTCCTAGCCCTGGACTACAGCAGGTTCTTTAACCTCTTTGAGCTTCTGTTCCTACATCTGTAAAATGGGAACAAGATACCCTGCTTCCCAGGGCCTTAGTGTGTTG